ATATATATATATATATATATATATATATATATATATATATTGCCCATTTCTTCTCTATAGATGTGGTCAGTGTGTGTCTCTAATGTCATGTATCTGATTGTATTTTCTGACAGTTCATTCGATGTATTGTTTTGCTTCTGTTAGGGTATGTTTAGCTTTTCCTTTCAATTTATTTACATTGTTAACAAAGGCAGTGTGAAGAAACTGAGTCATCTGCGGACTGAATATCAAGACTTTTTCGCAACTGACGACAGATCATTAATGAATATAATAAGATTGGGCCCAGGAAGGAGCCTTGTGGAACACCGAACGAAACTTGTTGTTTTGATGATACTCTTCAATGGATTTTAACAGATTAAAATCAAGTAATTTCTGAAACAAAAGTTGTCAGAGTAATTTTGGATCGTAATGATTACTAGAAGTTTTGGTGACTGGTTGTCGCTGTGTTTTTTCTTCATTTAAGATCAAGGTTAAAATGTCATGGGATAACATCAGTGTGAAGAAGAATATCGGATCTGTTTGTTATTATGATAACTGTAATAATTGTAGGCTTGTTTATGAGTTGTTTTAATTTATTTTTATTAATTATCGTAGTTAACTTTGCATTTCATTTGTTTAGATTATTTAAATCACCTAGGATAAAGGGATTTTTTCTTTATTGACAACTGATTCTGCAGTGGCATGTGGGCGCCTGTAAATTGTTCCGACGAGGAAGGAAGGATGCATACTGCTTTATACGGTTACCCAGATGTCCTTTACTGCTGTATTATTTACAGTTGTAGAAAAGATCTTATTTGATTTAACTTAAGAGTATCTCTTACATATATGCAGACTCCACCTCCACGACCTGCATCGTATCTGTAAACAAAAAAGTTTGGAATGCTGATGAAACTCCTTGCTATTTCTTGGAGAAGCAAAGTTTCACTAGTGCAGAGAACATCAATTGATTATTAATTAATTCTTTAATTATTAATTCAATTTCTGCAAAGTGTCCGAGGAGAGACTGTACATTGATATGCTCAATTCTGATAGTGTTTAGTGGTTTGACCGCCGGATTTGCAGCGTCAAACATTCTGCTTGCCCTTGTACTTATTTCTATTAAGTAACACCTTTACATTATTAGGAAAGACGTCAAACTCTAAGAAAGGATCTGGATTAATATCCTTGCCTCTTAGAGCGACTGTGAAGCTTGAGTAATAATTGTGTCATTTTAGTTTTGAGTGCTTTCACATTGGAAATATTGTCGAACTTATATATTCCCCTTTTGTGTCTGAATGGCAACTCGTGAAATACAAGTACACAACCCGAGGACGGCCGGCACCTTGCACGGATTTTGGCGAGTGGCGTTCCTCCCTTGCTTTTCTTCTTTGTTTTCTAGTGTTGCCTTGAACGATTATATGATTAGTCATTTTTACTACCTTACGTGCCAGATTTTATTCATTTCAGTACATTACATCTTATTAAAATAGCAATCATAATTATACGGTATGTAGTGGCTTTTGTAATTATAGTAAATGTATTTTCCTGGACGTGTATAAAAACAGTGTAACACTTCTACAGCATTTAGCATTCTTTGTAACAAAAATATATATCTTATGTCAGATTTATAATCACCACCATAATAAAATCCTTTTCCATGCTTTTCCCTTGAGTCAAAGTCGAAATTTCGGGTTGTAAGTTTGCTGCGATGGGGGTTGAGTGTAAAAATGCTCACTTTGATATGTAGATCCAAATGGTGATTGGAATTCAAAAGCTACTTTCTCCATGCAATTGATTTTGTCAAGCAGTGAATTCCAGGGACTTAACATGGAGGCTGCATGATCGTGTTAGTTGCCAGTATTTCTCGAAGAATAGCTGGCCACAATGATGAGTCTCTCTCTCTCTCTGTCTCTCTCTCTCTCTATCTATCTCTCTCTCTCTCGTGCCATAGGCAAGCAGTCTGCGTGTCAAGGGTACTGACCCGTGGCCTAGTGACTATAAATGTGAAAATTTATTCGTGAACTTTCTTTCTTTGTTATTGTTATCATAATTGTTATCACTATTATTATTATTATTATTATTATTATTATTATTATTATTATTATTATTATTATTATTTTATTATTATTATTATTATTATGATGTGATGATTATTATTAGCATTATTAGCATTGCTGTTGTTATTAGTGTCTCTGTTGTGCGTTATCATTATTATCAACGTTATTAATATTGATATTATTTTTAATATTGTTGTTATCCCTATTATTATCATCATTATTGTAGTGGATATTTATAAACTCCGTATAGTTAAAGATGTTGATTTGGTGGCGTGTATTCCAACTACAGGTAATCCCCATGTGGGTCTGGCGTTAATTAACAATGACTCTCAGGTGAGCTAAAGAGTGATTCCGTAGTCACGATAAAAACAATAAGACCACTGGCTGACAAAAAGGCAACATAAAAAGGAGCATCCATATTATACATTTATTTCGCACAAAACTTTAAAAAAACACGTAACCAATATACAGGACAACACACCATACACTTACTTGAAAAACACAGAGGCCACAGCCCGAGAAGCACCAGTCAGCCAGCTAAAAACCCAACGGTCTCTCACCACACAAGAACAAAAGCCTCTCCCTCTAGACTGATCTGGCTTGACCTTATATACAGACATTTTACCCATAACGCAATTAACTTTATTTGTTAAATAGTGTATGGGGAGCTTAAAATCAGTTTTGAAATACATAAAATAAAAATAAAGATAAAACTATACAACAATGGGCACATAAAAAGGACAAAAGATAGGAAAGTACGAAAAAGTGAAAGAAGGGATCTGTGAGAGAAAGCGATGAAAATCGAAGGGAAAAACGAGAGAAAAACAAAGCTAAGGTGAATTAGTCGTAGACGAAAAGGCAAGAATAAAACAAGGTAAGTATAGAATATAAGGTAAGTAGTGTTGTGTATAGTAGGAGTTGTGTAGATGTAGAGGAAGATCACGGACCAGTGGGAAAGGTAAGGCAAAGGAATATAACAACACAGGTTTATTCTTATTAAAAAAAAGAATGCGCAGGCACACAGGAAACAGCAAAGCCACGTGATCTTGCAGGGCGGAGGAGTCCGTAGATTATCTAGAGCGATCCGTAACGTCAGGGGAACAGGCGGCCCGAAAGCCTACGGGATGACCCGCCTACAGCCAGGGGAAATTCACTACAATTATTTTTGTTTTTTGTTGTTATGAATATTATTTTAATTAAAATTATTATCATAATTATGATGATAATAATGATAGAAATAAGCTAATGATAATGATAAGTTATAATGATAATAAAGATGATAATAATAATAGTAATGGTATTAATACTAATAACGGCAATACTACTACTACTAATAATAATAATGATAATATTAATGATAATGACACATGGTAATGACAATGACCATGATTTCTTTCTCCAGTGCACTGGTGACGTACGTAACCACAACCTCCTTGGCGGAGGTAATGAAGGTAATGATAATGATAATAGTTAATGATGCTTTCATTAAAAAAAAGAAAATCACCACCAAAATTTAATAGCATTTAAGTAAGGCTAAGGCGTACCTCTGTTAAAAATTCTGTTCATAACTTTGAGTTATCCTGCTAACAAACAAACTAACCTATCAAAAACATAATCTCCTTGGCGAAGGTAATAAAAATGATAATGATCATGATTATTATTATAAATATTATTACTATTGTTGTTATTATTATTTGTAGCGGGGCGTAAACCCAAGTAGACTTAAGTAGGTCTGGTTGAGTCCGGGCTCAACCGAGAATATGGAGTTCTTAGCTCAAGGAAAGATTCGTCTGCAGTGAACAGATGTAAGGTTCCAGGCCTACGGCACGCTGCCACCACCCGATTAGTAGGTTCGAGAACCGTGTGTGTTGTATAACTGGGTGTGGGCGTTCTATCAGAGAAGGGTGGAATGAAAGTACAGGATGTGTGGACTGAATGTTGGATGTGTAAGTGTGTAGATGTGGAAAGGGAGATAGCGTAGGCTGAGCGTCTGCGTGGACGTGTTTGGAAGAAAAAAAGCAAGATCATAGAATTCTTCTTCCCTTCGGTTTGAGCATCCGCCTGCTGGGAGCGGGAACACAGGTATAG